CTTCGCCACTGTGGGCCACAATCATCATTCAAAATAAAGCCAAACACAATAAACCAAAATAAATTTAATCCGCTTTGTTCATATATGATACCCCCCACTATCTGATTCTTGAATCACAAAATTCTCATGTGCTAAAAATCAATTCTTGATTACCATGATAATTCATGTCTTAATTCTTGCCACACTATTGTGTCTTTTCTTAAATATTCCCATATACCAATCTCACCCCTTAGATCCTCTCACCCGTAAAGAAATCAACTCAATTAGACATACAATCAATAATTTTTATTCCCACAATACCCCTTCTTCCAATAATCCAACATTTCATTTTCTTGACATTGAAGAACCGGAGAAAAACCATGTCCTAAAATGGCTATCTTCCGACCGAAACCGAAAAAACCGCTTGTTCCCCACTCGTCGAGCCAATGTAGTGATCCGCGTAAACGGCGAAACGCGCGAACTCGTTGTCGACTTAATCACCGATTCAATCGTATCCGACAGACTTCACAAAGGCAATGGATATCCACCGTTCACATTCGATGAGCTTCTCGTAGCGAGTAGGGTTTCGACTAGCTACCCTAAATTTCGAGATTCGATTGCGAGAAGAGGCCTCAACTTATCCGAAATTACGTGCATGCCCCTCACGACAGGCTGGTTTGGTGAAGCTGCAATAAAGAGAGTTGTTAGAGTCACATGCTTTTACAGGGGAGGCACTTCCAACATGTGGGCCCGCCCTATCGAAGGCATAAGTTTGCTAGTCGATGTCGAGAAAATTCAAGTGATCGAATATTCCGATAGGTTCAAAACCCACTTGCCGAAACTCGAAGGCGCCGATTTCCAAACGCGGAGGGGTAGTTCCGTCTTTTGCAACGAGAAAAACTCGAGCATAACAATCGACATGCATGAGGTTAGATGGGCGAATTGGGAATTTCACGTGGCGTTCGATGCGCGAGCGGGTGTGATTATATCGACCGCCTCGATCTTCGACCCGACGACGAAGAGGTTTCGACGCGTGCTCTATCGAGGGCATGTGTCGGAGACGTTCGTGCCGTACATGGACCCCACTCAAGAATGGTACTACCGAACTTTCTTGGATGTGGGAGAGTTCGGATTCGGCCGATCAGCTAATTCTCTCGTCCCGTTTATCGATTGTCCGGAAAATGCTGTTTATATGGATGGATACATGGCTGGTGGAGATGGACACGTGCAAAAAGTGCCGAACGCGATTTGTATTTTCGAGTCTTTTGCTGGAAATGTTGCTTGGAGGCACACAGAAGTTGGTGTACCTGGAAAACTGGTAAAAATACATTTAAAAAAAATATATTGATTTATATATTGATAAATGATCATTATATGATCTTTAGGACAAGTTTGTAATAATAACAATAATAAACTGATTTTTTTTTTATTTTTTTATTTTTGCAGATAATAAGTGGTGAGGCAGAGGTTAATCTTGTGGTGAGAATGGTGGCAACTGTAGGGAACTATGATTATATACTTGATTGGGAGTTCAAGAAAAGTGGTTCAATCAAAGTAGGGGTAATGTTTTTATTTATTTACTTTTTTGCCCTTTTCAAGAATTTTAGCATGTTAATTAAACAAGTGAAAACGAATTAAGAAATCGAAACCAAAAAATATATATTGCAGGTGAGTTTATCAGGTGTTCTCGAAATGAAGGCGACAAAATACACGAACGCAGATCAG